AAAGGATCACATGGGGAGGAGAAGGAGATGGGACCATGAGGGATGGTGCAGAAGAGGACAAGGTGGGCCCATGAGAGATTGCATGAAGGAGGAGGAGCGACTATGAAGGATCGGGCAGCACAGGAGGGTCCATGAAGGATTGCATGGTGGAGGAGGAAACCACCTCATGAGGGATTGTGCAGATAAGGAGGAAGGCCCACAAGTGATTGCATGGACGAGGTGGTGGGACCATGAGGGACTGCATGGAGAAGGGATCATGAGAGAGAGAGAGTGTGTGGTGAGGGAGGAGGAGGAGGAGACGGGACCACAAAGCCTATGAAACCTTAATTGTACCCTCTTGCGCTTATGCATTATGATACAGTCTTTAATGGCATGATCACTTACCAATTTTCAGTGCACAGAACAGATGGTGCTTACTTATTGTTCAATGTGTGCCCATAGGCCTTATTTATTGCACACTATTCACACCCTGCTCTGAAGGCAGAATTATTAATTTCCTCATGGGCTATTCTATGGTGCTCATCACTCAAGTATCCAAATGCTTCATAAATATTAATGAATTTATCTTCACAACACTCCTGTGAAATGAGAGGGTGATATAATCTGCAATTTAAAGATGAGGAGCTGAGGCCCCCAGCAACACCCTGCCAAATTTCAAGTAATTGCTGCAAAGCGTAAAGGCACTAGAACTTCTCTATTAAATGGTTGGTAGGTTTTTTTTTTAATAAGGGCAAAGCAATGTATTTTTCTTCAATCTTATTCTCAGAAATGGCTGAACTGTTTTAGCTGAAACTTTAAATAAAAAATAAGAATTAAAAAAAAATTAGTCTGAGACAGACACCTGACATGGAAAATTTCAGTCCAACCAAAGTTATAAGCTATTGAAAACAGGGTCTTATAATGGAAAGTTTCAGGCAACCTTTAATTATCAATATTGTTACCAGCTCCTCCTATAATTCATATTTTCTTTCAATCTGTCCTTGTTACCTATGATTTTTAGTTAGGAGGAAATATAAAAACAGGAATAAGTGACCAAAGTCTGATGTACCTGCAGAACCATACAACAAATAGTGTGTTAGCTCTTTGAGGCAGGCACTGTCCAAACACATACTAAGAGACAGTGCCTAGCACATGGAGTCCTGACTAGACACTGCCACAATATAAATTTTAAAATAATGAAAGTGACATCAAGATGCCTCCAATCTGCCCTCAACAGATACAGACCTATCATAAGATGGTGGATGGTGACAGTATAAACTATAACAATTCTTCTCAGAACTATCTTCTTATCAAGAAGTCCTGTTGCTGAGGAGACATCCATGACAAATGCTTATTGCATTCTACAAGTTCTATTATACTGTTTCTTTGACACACCATTTATTAGTACCTAGTAACTAAAGTGGAAAGAAGAAAGTTGGGTAGATCATGTTACTGCAGATCTGAGAGGAGAGAGGGAAATAAATGGGAAAACAGGTCCAGCTAGATGCTCACATTATCTATTTTTCTTTCTTATTTCTTTCACATTTTCTGAATTTACTGTTCTAATTCATTCTTCGTATCACTGCTCTTTTTTGTTTTTTGTTTTACTAAAGCTATGAGATGTTTCTATATATTCAGGGAAAAAGATGGGATTTGATTAGTTAATGTCGGAAAGTACTCTGAATTACTCTGAGGAAAGCTGCTATAGAAGTGCAAGATATGATGATAATTACTTAGTTCCTACTAGAAGAATAAAAAGTTTGAGTATTTTCAGTTCTGTAAATTTCTGCTCATGCACGGGCGGCGGGTATAATAGGCTAGGGAAGGCTGCTGGATACCTGGGCAATGCTGGACCCCTCTTCTTCTCCCTGCTCTGCCCCTTCCCAGAGGCCCCCCACTGCCACCTGCTGCTGCCTGGTGAGTCCCTCCTGTCCTCCACTCCACCCCCCTTCTCCACAGGTCCCTGCTGCTCACCGCATCCCTCTTCTCCTCCATCCCTCTCCCCATGAGACCTCCCCCTGACTGCTGCTTGCCACCTCCCTCCTTACCCCCCCCACCCTCGTGGAGGAGAGGAAAGACTGGGGGAGCGGGGGTGGAGGGGACCTCACGGGGTAAGGGGGTGGAGGAGAGGAGGGACACAGTGAGCAGGGGGGCCTTGTGGGGGAGGGGAGAGGAGGGACACGGTGAGAGTGGTGGCAGGGGGTCCAAGTGGGGAGGGAGCCAAGCCAGGGAGGGGTGGGCCCTGGGGCATAGTGGGGGGGGGCCACCGGTGGAAGAGGCAGGGCAGGGAGTTAGCCTCCCCTAGGGGAAGCTTCACCCACTGCCCATCATGGTCCAACATTATACAGCAAGATTGCAGAAAAGCTCTTGGTCTCTCTCTTCACCCCTTCCCTCCCCCATATTTTAAGTTCACTCTGGACAACTAAAGAAAGATCAGGTTAACAAGTGACAGCTGAGCACGAAGCCATACATCTCCAGCATTAAGTGCAAGCAGCTAGAAACCATACAGCTGCTGCTAGCAATTAGAATTGTCAGCTTTCCACCAAGGATCCCTCTGCTGACTTATTAAGGTTAATTGCCAACAGGTATCAGATTGCCTTAGCCTGTGGGGATATAAACCAAACAGGGAGAGGACTAGGAGGTGGTGGGTTAGTGTGAATTGCAAACTGGTGTGTTTCTTAACAATTAACTCATGATCTAGAGGAAGCTTAACCCTTTATTTGAACCTCTATGTGACACAGACATATTTATGGTTGGCTGTAGGAAGCTTTCATTATGTTTAGGACCTAAAACCCATGGTACGGATTGTTACAATTCCCATACTGGGTAGCCCATCATAATGAGATTACTGGGGGCCAAAATTATATTGTTCCTTAGACAGTCACAAAAGAAGTGGAAGAGAATGTTCTCAAATAGGGTGGTGGCTGTCATGAGAATACCAGTGATGTTTCTGATGATCAAACCTCAGAAGATTCAGTGATGTAAATAAATCCCCCAAATCTGGGTGCTTCTCTGAGTTACCCACATCTCTCACAACCACAAAGCTGGGCTATGAATGACATGAGAATGGGCTTCCCTGTGAGAAGGCTCCTATTTCTGGCTGGAACCCAGTAGTGCAGAGGTAAATCAAAACCTAACAGGAACTGAGGAAGACTGGACATTAAGTAGACTGTTGAAAGAAAAAAGTTACCTAGGGAGGTGGTGGAATATCCATCCTTAGAGGTTTTTAAGGCCCTGCTTGACAAAGTCCTGGCTGGGATGATTTAGTTGGGAATTGGTCCTGCTTTGAGCAGGGGATTGGACTAGATGACCTCCTGAGGTCTCTTCCAACCCTAATATTCTATGATTCTATTTTCAGTTGTCAGAACTCAGGGTTTGTCTGAGATGGCTCTCCCCCATTTCTCTTTCCATAGATCCTAACCCTGCCTTCCACAGCCATTTGGCTCCCCTCCTCCCCCCTCCAATCCGATTGTCCTGACATTTAGAGGAGACTGGAGCAAAATAATGTAGGCAGAACCTAACTGTGGTTGCTGTTTGGGTATAACTTGTCATAAACTGATTCAGCAAGTTAAGCCTGTCACAAAGTCATAGCTATGTGAGCATCGCTCTGTCCTGGCCTTGGCTCACATGGCCCTGTCTGTTCCTTTATCTCAGGGTAGAAGGACAGTTGAACTGTTACACAATCACCATCTTATCCGTAAAACCACAAGTGTCTGTGGGGGAGGGGCGGATGAGGGGTATGGGGGTGGGGAGGAAGAGAGAATCTTTCGCTCTCTTTAAGTACTCAGCAAATTATTAAATCAGGACTGTGCTGTATCATGCTTAGTGTATTCAGAAAGGCACATGGCCTTTAGCAACCCCTCTCCTCATTGTTCTAAAATGTATAAGGTTTAAAGAATTCTATCAATCACTAATACACCAGATTTTTTTTTTTGACAGGTCCAAGTTCACTGTCTGAGTTTTGAACGCCAGGGATCATGGTCAGTGCACACATTTTTGTATTTCTTGGACGTGAAAAGCCCCAAAGCCAGTTCCCTGACCCTAACTCCACTTATGCCTGTTGGGAGTCAGGATTTTCCAATGCCACATGCTGCTGCAGCTGACTACAGGGTACACAGGCTTGCTGCTTCTAAGAAGTTAAGTACAGTAGCCAAAGCTGACATATAAACACACATGTAAACATACATGGATTTATATGTGCATGAATAATATGGATATATTACATATTGTATATATGGATATATTATATACATAGATATATATGCACATAAATAATATAGAGTTACAACTTAATTAGTTTTAAGAGAGAGCTGGACACATTTATGAGTAGGACTGTATGACAAAGTTGTCTGTGGTGTTGGGGGGCAGTGCTCAGCAGCCCTGGGGGTCCCTTCTGGTTTATATTTTATGTTACTAAAATCTCATGCTTCAGGGCTTCACCTGGTCTCCTGCAAGGGTCAGGAGGGATTCTCTCTCTCCCCGCTCCTCCCCCCGCCTCTGTATTCTGGGTTTGATTGGTTTTGGTCTCCTTCCTCTGAAGAGATGGCCATGGCTGGAGATGGGACATTGGAAGGGGTGGGCCAGGGCTCTGAGGTGGCACTGAGCATTCTCTCTCTCTCTCTCTCAGGTACCTGGCTGGCTGGTTCTTGCTCACATGCTCAGGGTCTAACTGATCACCATATGTGGGGTTGGGAAGGAATTTTGAGAAGACTGTTGATTGTAAGCCACAAATCTACACAATCTTACCCCAGCCCACCCACTCCAGAAATATTCCCAGCCTTGCTGCCTTTTCAGCACCAATACTGTCCTGAACAGGCATTGGTATTTGCACCCTATTGCTCAGTTGCAGCAGTAGTTTTGCAATGCAAACAAATGTGTACTGAGGATCTATGTTGAAATTGCCAAACTCGTAACAACTGTGACTCAGCTAGATTTGAAACCAGAGCCTCAACCTGAAAATGCATTGCAGCAATGCCCTAAGCCCATCTTAACCCTCCCCAGCCCTGCAAGCACAGTCTCACCTGGTATAAGCTGGCAAGGTGGTGGTTGGTTTTGATCAAAAATGGTTGGTTGACCCCTGGATGGTCTACATCGTGCGCTGCAGCAGCTAGCAGTCCAAGCATAATGTCCAGAGGGGTGAGGAAGTTGGCAAGCTGGACCACACAAAATTGACCACAACATTAGCACAAACAGGCAAACAATTCTTTTACCAAGAAAATCAAAGCAACTGCTACATCATATAATTGTTTGGTTTTATAGTTCAATTTACAATGCTATCATCTGAGATAATTATTTATACACAGCGATCCACAGGTATGGCACTTTTGAGTTCATTGCACAGTTTGTATCTATCAAAACTATCAGGCTATAATGCAGTGGTTCAAGTAAGCTGGTAAGATCAGGTACGCTATACCATTAAGATATTTATTGCCGATATGCCGTACTGGAAAGACACATTCGGTATCCGCTGAACACCACAGGGCTCTCCTGGGAATGGCAGCGGTGAAAGGAGCAGAACATGGGGCCGCCGGGCAGCCCCATGCCAGCAGCTCCCTGGGCCCGGCTGTTTACTGCCCCCAGCCCTTCCATGCAGCTGTGTCTCCTGTCTGGGGTCTGTACAGCCCCGTCAGAGGACAGGGCAGTGGGCGGGGCTGGAGACAGTACAGCTGTGCTGGAGGAGCTGCTGGCATGAGGGTGCCTGGTGGACCCACGTTCTTCTCCTTTCACTGCTGCAGTTCCTGGGAGAGGCCTGTGGTTCAGCGGATACCGATTTCTATCCCCATCCATGGGTATAAATTTGTATCCGCGCAGAGTTCTAGTCACAGACCATTTTTTGTGAGGGGGGGTTGGGGTCGGGCCAGCGACTGGTGCAGTGGTTCTCAAACTTCTGTACTGGTGACCCCTTTCACATAGCTAGCCTCTGAGTGTGACCCCCCCTTATAAATTAAAAACACTTTTAAATATATTTATCACCATTATAAATGCTGGAGGCAAAGTGGGGTTTGAGGTGGAGGCTGACAGTTCGCGACCCCCCACGTAATAACCTTGCGACCCCCGGAAGGGTCCTGACCCCCAGTTTGAGAACCACTGGACTGGTGGGAGGGTCAAGTGACTCTCCCCAGGCTCAAGTGCCCCCGCCAGCCCGGGCGGAGAGAGAAGGCCAGAGCGCCTCCTTTTCCAGCCACGCTGCCTGGTGCAGCGCAGTGGCTGCCTGGGAGAGCCAGGCACTCTCCCAGCCAACTGTTGTGCTGCACCGGGCAGCATCCAGGAGTGGCTCCAGGGCCTGGTTGCCGGGAAGAGCAGCTGAATGCCAGGGGGAGCCAGCGCAGCGGGAGGACAGAGCCCCCCCCGTGGGATGGGGAGGGGATGGGGAGAGCACGGGGGCCCCGGGTTGGGAGCGGGGTGGAGAGGAGTCACATGGGGGGGTCACATGGGGAGGTCACGTGCTCCCCATTTAGCTGGTGCCCCCCTTTGTGTCCCTCCCATGAGTCGCTGTACTGGTAAGAGTTAAAATCTACTTGCACCACTGGCTATATGCTGACTCATTATTATAATAGTTTTTATGTTAGCATGAGCAATTAACAGGCTAAAAAAAACAGGGTAGCTGCTACAAAAATACTGTTATTTAGTCTCAAAGATCCAGTTTAGAAACAATGTGTAAAACTACCAGTCTAACCTATCATATAAGATCAACTCTGCCATCAGGAACTACTTGAAAATGTTAGTGGTATATTACACTACTAGTAAAGCACACCGTATTAACAGTGTATCCGTGTCCAAAGGCCAACATTTTCAAAGTTGTCTGCTTAATGTTAGGCATCTCAATCCAGATTCAGACACCTAAATAATAGACCTGATTTAGCTGTCTAACTTCACACACTCACGTTTGAAAATGTTGGCCACAATCCTTTCTGAAATACCTTTCATGTCATTTAGAAGCAGAGTGGAAGATCATTCTCGTTATGATTTGGAACCGGCCCCCAAGCCTTTCTGTTGCTGAGTGCCAGTTATTTATTACTAATATGAATATTAGTTCTGATTTGAATAAGGTGCCCTGCAATGAGAAACAAATGTGCCCTGCAGACTCCAGATGTCAGCTATCCTGTGCATTTAGAGGCAGCATGGTCTTGTGGTTAGTCTAGAGGACTGTGACTCATGAAACATAGGACCTGATTCCACTTTCACTTATACCTGGGTAACACTCCATTGACTTCAACAGAATTGCCCTTTGTTTACGCCAATTCAAGTGAGATCAGAATCAGGCCACTGGACTCTGTTTCTGATTTTGCTACTGAGTAGCTGTGTAAGCTTGAGTCATGGTGAGTTTAAGTGCCTTAACTATTTTCCCCATCTCCAAAATAGCTATTTTATCTATCTTGGTACAATGATTTGAAACTCTTATTTGACAAGCTCTCTCAGTGCAAAGTCCTATTGTTTTCATTTGCTATTACCTTGGGCTCCTTTAGGTAGCAGTGCATAGCTTGAGTGACGTCAGCAGCGTGGACAGCGTTGTGGTATGGGTTTTGGCTGTGATAATCTTCTTGAACCATAACTAGAAAGCAAAACAGGGAAAAGATCTGTCCCAACACCATGATCATTCTTGGAAACTGGGGTTAAAACCAGAGTTGGGGTTATGCTCAGGGGCCTGGGGATTTTCTTCAAATGTCTACGTCTTGCATGGCTTGGCACTCTTACTAAGATGGCTTTGGAGGAAAAAAATTGCTTGAAAGGATTTGTGAGGCCCTAGAGGATTCTGGGCCTAGTTCATAAATCAAGCTTTCCTTGCCTTAGTGAAGGCTCTCATTTAGAAGTAAAATAAGGGTGGGAGCAAGGGAGGCAAAATTATACACACTAGAGTGTAATTATTTTAGGCCGCTGTCGTAGTTGAGTAATATGTCATTAAGGCAGTACCTATTTCACAGCAGAGGCGGGAGGTGGGGTCAGTTGGGTGGAGCAGGGGGGAGGGGGTTGTTACTTGATTGATTATCCATGGACAAAGGTGTGCTCATGTTCTTTAGGCAGGGCCTCAGAAATACAGTATTTTGGTAATCCAAGTGGAAATTCCTGGAATATTTTTAGTCATCTCTATCCTTGCATTTTAAAATCCCAGTCACTCTTGTTTTAGTTTCTAGTGCTGGAATTGTTAATTTTCCACCTGGAAGATTGAGATCCGACTTTACAGCCTTCTCTCAGCTCCTGTTGGCACAAGAAATCACTGAGGTTTGCTCCTGAAATTTGGTTGTGCCATGTGGTAGCACATTTCAACAACAGGCAATCCACTGTGCCATCCTAGGGCAAAATGACATTGACATTGTATATGCAAAGTCTGTATTATAACATTGTCCAAATCACCCTTCTCTCTGAGGACAATGTCCTATTAAGTGGGGAGAGGGATCAGAAGCAAAATTCCAGTGGCATTGACTCAATGCTATTGAATGGCTTTCCTGGCAACCTGGGTCTCTAAAATGTATCAGGGGAGACAAGGAAATCTCTAGCATGAGACTTCTCTAGCTATTAATTGCCAGAAGGATGGAATGCATATTGTACTGATTGGGACAGAGACACCTCATGTGAGGTGAAGAATTGAGTATGTGCATGTGACACAAAAGAGAAAATCACTCACGGATAATTCCTTCTGGCATAGGGCTTTTGTTGTAATTGTTGTTTTTGGTCTTTTATACAAGTTGCTAGAGACAATTACTGGTGTGTATATGTGTATATACTATTTCAGTAGGGTTTTTTTTATAGCTAGCACTGTATGTCTATATATCAAATATATACATCATTTGAAGGTGTCGATAATTCTTTTAGCCTTGTATAATTTCGGATTGAGTGATCTGAGCGGCTGCTTCTTACCCTGTACAGTCAGTCATGGCAGTTAAAATAGGTCGAAGTACTCTGGTGTTTGGGGTACCCTCCTGACTGTTGCAGAGTTTGCACTTTCCAGGAGTGGCAGCTGGGCTTTCTCACTGGCAGGACACTACCTTTGAAACTCTCTGACAGGACAGGATGCATGGACTTACTTGTCTTTGGCTTTCTTTCTTTCTTTGGTACCCTGACAACATGGGGGCTAATATTTCTGTTGGCAGTGGCGGCAGCAGCAGTGGCTTTCATCAGTGCTATCCAGTGTAGACAGCTTGATATAATTTGTTAAATTTTGTAAATAGGCTCTTAGTTGCTCTATAAATCACTAAAACAACAACACTGCACTACAGTTCCATTTCCACTGAGATGTATTTTGGATTGGTTCTACAGTGTGTGGGGGGTTCTGTCTGTGTGGGCCTACCCAGTCTGCGTGTGGCTCAGTATAAGGTGGTTGATTTTTTAAAAAAATCAGCAGTTCAGCTTTATCTGAGCTGATGAAAGATTGGTTTAGAGACCAATCCAAAGTTCACTGAAGTCTCACCATTGACTTCAGCTGCTCTGAGTCTTTATTGCTTGTAAAGTAAGTTAGTGTATTTAATATATTGCTGACATTGATATATATATTCTTGCAAATGTCAGCAATATTATAAAATATAATTGAAGCAAGACACTAAGCTGTAAAATGCCTTTGATGATAGAGTTGAAGAAAGGACTTACCTAAAAACCTATGTAATGTAACCATGTCTAACTGGAAATGGTGAATAAGCCCATGCACATTGAAGAGGTGGCACAGCAATGTTACCAGGCTATTTCCTGAAAATATAAAACACTTGTTAGCTTCTTTTAACAGTGGATAAATAATGCAGTGACAACTGTGTACAAACAAGATCTTGCTTATTTTCTAATGGTCTGAACTGATTCAATCTCTTGAGAGCTGCTCCTTCCAACACTTATGCTAGGGTTGTCAATTTTGGTTGGACATATTCCTGGAGGTTTCATCACATGACATAATCTTTAATTAAAGATTAATCTTTAATTCTTGGAGACTCCAGGGCAATGCTGGAGGGTTGGCAACCCTCATTTATGCACATAAGTAACTTTGCGCATGGGAGTAAAGTTATTCATCACAATGTATTTGCAGGATCAGAACTCTGTCCTGTATGGACAATGTCAGTGGAATTCACCTTTGAGATATTCTTTCTTGTGTGTAGTTTATATTGTACTGGAAATCATTTTCCTATTTCTGCATTATACATGTACTGAATTCACAAAGCAATGCCCAGAAGAGACCTACTAGGAAGGAAACCTTTCAGTACAAGCACAGCTGGGAACTTCACAAACAAGGGCCACTTCAGGAGTCTGTGCAGAAGATGAAGTTGATGGTTTTAGCACTTGAACTTAGCACAATGTCCCCCGTGAACTATATTTAGGGCTTCTATTTCTCAGGGTTTATTAATTTCATTTTTCAGCATTTATTTTAGCTACTTTTGAGTTCTATATAAATATCCAAAAATCAGGATTTTTCGGGGCTTTCTCTTTGTAGATCCATGTAGCACTGTTTCAAACAGCACTACATTAAGGCACACCGGGGAACCTTTAGTGCACATCAGCAGGGTTTACACGGACCAATTAATGGACAACATGTTGGTGTGCTTTAGAAATAACATTCCTAAATCCACTTTACTTTCTGTGTAGACAAGCCCTTAGACACAAGCCAAGGAGCCTATATAAACAAACTGCACTGGAAAAGGAGTGAAATCAATATGATTACTTAGTAACCATTTCTGGTGTTTTTCCAGTGCTTATTTGATAAACATAAATTTCATTTTTTTTAAAATTGCATGTGTTTTATTAGTATTTATCAGTTAAAACCTAAAATCAGAAGCCTCAATTATAGTGTCAGTTCATCTCAATTACTTCAGTACATGGCCAAAGCTAACTGGTATTAAGAGCCAAACAAATTACTGAGAAGTCAACAGTTTGCAATTAGTTGAACTTTTTTATTTCCTAAATGAATGCACACCCATATGAATAATCCATGCATCCAGTTCAGCACATGGCTGTAATTGGATCTGACAGTAACAATGCAGTCGTATGCAGCAGAAAATGAGTTTCAACTTAGCAAAGACTCATTCCCCCCATAAATCCACACTAACTTCAGTAAGAGTTCAGTACAGGTAATAATGGCAAAATTGAGTCCTACATTGGTATTCATATTGACAAGCTATTTAGGAAGAGTATGTGTAATTCTATAATAATCCATTGGCAATGTTCATGGAACTGAAAGAAAATTTAAATTATACAAAAGTACAATGATATAAGGAAAGGGTGATTCAGGATTGAAGGATAATGAATGTCTGAAGAGGAAATAGATTTTAGGTAAAAGGATAGAAAGGCATTTCCTTGATTCGTCAGCTATAGTGCTATAAGATGGTAGCACAGGAAGATAATGCAGTATATTCAATGTAATTTCAGCAAGTCAGCAGGATTACATTTTTGCTTTCTTTGTCATTTACACACCTTTCCTTATAATTTCTACTGCCAATCAGAGGGCTAATAAGTAATCCTCTAAACCAGTGAATCCCAACCTTTTCCATATTTCAGCTCTGCCTCTACTGCCAATCTACTTGGGATCTAATAGGGAAGCCCCTCCCATTTAGCAGTGTGGAAGGGATAGGGTGGTCATGACCCCACTCCCCGCCCCAGGCTCTGAATCCTTCCTCTACTCTTAACTGATCCGTCCTACTTCATTGTCTAGATTTGTGTGTACAGAATCAAATATAGACTTGAATACACACATGTATATTTTACTGGCAATTCATAATTATGGCATTATTGAATGAGAGAAGAATTAATATCCTATCCCGACAAATAATATAAATAAAGCATAATTCAGACCAAAACCATTTTATATTAATAAAAATTCATGGCTGATGGAGTCTGGCCCTGAAGTCTGTGTAGCTGATCATGAGAGGATCATCCCAGTGTAGGTGGGTGGTATAGGGCCAGTGCATATTATTGATCTGAAATGAACACATTTTTTAAAGCACTTGTGGATTTTTCCCAGTGGAACGTGCCATTTAAATATAAGTAATTATCAATTTACAATACATAAATAAAAGGTGGCCATGACAAATATAAAGAAATTAAATTTATAGATATGGGATACATTTAAATATAACACAATTGTGAATGTTCTGTAAATGTTTAATGGTGTGATCTTGTAAGGAGCCGAGCACCCTACAATTCCCATTTAAATGTCTGAACAGGAAAAATCTAGCAAAATAATTAGAAATTCCTAGAATAACTGTATGAAGGGGATCATATGACAAAAAAGATTTGGGGTTTTTTGTTGTTACTTTTTTATGACTTACCATTTGTCAAACGGTCAAACAAGAAAATGTCAAAATCCCACATTCCCACTTTGGATAGCATGTGCTGAAAATGCAAACATGAAAAGCAAAATGACTGTTATGTCAGAGTGTGAAGCAGATTTAAATAATTATTACTGTACATTAAGTAATCATAGGTATAGTTGCTGCAGCTTCAAAATTCTCCTCATGAGAGCTATACAGATGCATTTGAAATTGGATCAAAATAGCAATGTCTGCCTTCAAGAGCCAAGTTTTATTCCACTGGGTGAAAAATCCTCTTGCCGTTTTACTTGACAGAAGTACAGTAAATGAGACCCTGCCGAAAATATTTTCCAACTGAAGCAAGAAGAATGTGAAAAATCAAAGAAAACATTTTGCCAAATGGTCCATCGCTGTTCAACTTTTTGCAGCCTTCCCTTATTGCCTCAAATTAGCTCTGAATTTTTCAAAATGACTCGTACAATGTGAGTTCTCCTGAGCTGATTCCTGCATTTTGTCTTAGTTCCTGTAAAGAGATGTGCCCTCTTAAAAATGTAGCTGTACTATCCAGACAAGCAAACACAGGAATAACCTATAATCTCATGCTGTATGCAGTCTCAGAGAGGAGTCCAACAGTACCACCCACTATGTACAGCATTCCACAATTGACTAGGTGCATTCAGGATTTTGAACCTGGATCAGCTGCATGACCTAATATGGCAAATTCTACATTGTCATACTATTCCCCCAGCACCTGACACAGTCCAGATTCCCAAGTGGGGGTCACGATTTGTGACGCTTTCTTGCACTGAGTAATGCTTACTCATGTGAGTAATCCTAATGACATCAACAGGACTAATCATGTGGGTAAATGCTACTCAGAGTGAGTAAGGGTTGAAGAATCAGGTAATTATATTTTGCCTACTATGACTTCTCTTTTCAATTATCATTTTTCACTTTCTAGCCTAAACTGTTGTGTAGTGTTACTATGGACTGTTAAATAGTTGCTGCAGAGATGGCAGCATTTTCTTGGTGGATGAAATTAATCCTATGTATAGTTTTATATCAGCTTACTTTTGTAACTCACTTAGGGATCCTTCAGGCATACAAATGTATGTTCCTCACTTAATAATTCCAGATTGTAATTTGGGCTGGCTGAGTTTGAACTTTGGCATCAGGTCTAGATATTTCCTTGTCACTCTGATGCTCATTCCTTAATGCTATGAGCATAAAACCCATGGCAAAGTCTAGTACATTTGTTGGGGGGTGAAATTAGAGTGGGTAATTTTAGCCAGTTCATCCACCCATTTGTTTTTCAGAAAAGCAAATTATAAAATGACATTCTTCAGCAAGATATTTCCAAGGATTGGGGATTTGGAGAAGTCTCTTACCCTTGCTTGTCCAAGGTAGTCTTCATCCAGTAAGTACAGAGAGGCTTGTGGTACAATTCCACGCAACAGCCTGGATGCATGGAAATATCTCTGAAAGCTTAACAGTCTTTTCACCTTTTTCTTGGTGCCAATTTCCCCTGAGTGTGTTGTATCTGTGAAAAGTAATTAGTACAAAAACCATCATGCTGGAGCTCAAGGACAACTTTCTCCATTCTTTAAAAAGAAAACATTGAACATTTCATAATTTTGTAAGTCTTCTCTCAAACTCGCAAGAAACCACAATACTCTTAATGCCGCATTCTTTGCTGTTCAGATTCAGGAATAAAATCTCTGTCTTAGGAGTGTGCGTGCACAAGTTATACATTAGCTTTAGAAGTAATGGTGTATAGTTGTATTACAGAGATGAATTATGGTGCAGTGGTTAAGATACTAGCTTAGAAGACCTGCGTTCAAGTCCCTGCTCTATCATAGGCTTCCTGTATGACCTTGGGCAAGTCACTTAGTCTCTCTGTGCCTCAGTTCCCTGCGCCACAGGGGTGTTGTGAGAATAAGCACATTAAAGAGTATGAGGTGCTCAGAGACTACAGTAATGGGGCCCACATAAATACCCCATGTGAATAGTAATGTGTCCTATTAGCAAAACTTGTGTAAGGATTAAGAGAAATACTTAAATTTGACTTTCGCTGCTCTTTTGGAAGGTGAATAAGTCAAAACTAAGTACATAGGAGAGGGATTTGCTGTGCTGAAGTTGAAATAATCCTCAGTAAGGATCTTCTGAGGTTTCAGCTTTCTGAATGATGCCTTATGGTGTTTAATGGAGAGGCTGACATGCACTTTGTTTTACCAGTTTAGGTCAGAGGGGATTTAGACTGTAAGCTCTTCAGGGCAGGGACTGACTTTTTGTTCTGTGTTTGTATAGAGCCTAGCACAGCGGGTCCTGGTCCGTGACTGGGGCTCCCAGGTGTGATGATAATACAAATACACAATGAATACATAAATATAACAACAGGCTCTTTTAAAATAAGGACTTTTTTTCCACCTGCTGATATACTTCACTGATGTACAACAAGTGACAGGTCCAGGAGTCACTTTGGGATTCCTGTTTGCTAGTAAAAGGCTGTACACATCCAAGAGATAAAATAGTTGGTTATTCCAGTTCCAAGTATTCTTTGCTCATATTACTTAACAGTTATATTGGGACAATATTATTATACACTGAAAGACCCACAAAAACCTGGGTTAGGTCCAGGGTTTGATGTAGAATTTGATGTAGAATTGTCATCTTTGGGTAGGTTAAATCTTTTCACGATACGAGTTGTATTTTCCTGGAGTAATTTGTACCAGCATTGTTAGTGCCATGCTCTTTAGATAGATGGATAGTTCCAAAACAGATAAGGCACACAATCAACAAAAACGTGACCAACTTTTTTGATGCTGCAAGGTAAACTTCAGGAAATCAGACAATGAAACTCCCAGCTTTTGTTAATCATTCATGCTTCTAAATCCCTTTGGATTACAATGAAAATATACTTTGCATTCTGAATTTGGAAATGTGACAATCAGACACTCTGGTCTACTCGATCTCTTTCCAAACAGAACTGAAGCCAGTACATGTTGAACTCAGAAGTTAAAAGATCTAGATATTAAGTTTCTGAATGAACTTTTCTGGCTGTAGCATCTTTTTGTAGTTCTCTTTCCCCCACATTCCCACATTTGCTGGGAAACTTTGTGCACCCAATTTGGGATCTAATGTTGGATCAGTCTAATACTGACTGACACTGTCTTCTTCAATGAGAGAGACAAAGGGTACAGACAAAGGGTACACTACGAGATTAATTCGAATTTAGATAATTCGAATTTGGGAAACAGATTGTATAAATTCGATTGTGCGCGGCCACACTAAGCACATTAATTCGGTTTTTAACCACATTAATTCGGTGGTGTGCGGCCACACTACCCCTAATTCGAATTTACAAAATCGATTTTGGTGCTACTCCGCTCGTCGGGGTGGAGTACAGAAATCGATTTTAAGTGCCCTTTAATTCGAAGTAACTGGCTCCGTTGTGTGGACGGGTTAAGGATTAATTCGGATTAACGCAGCTAAATCCGAATTAAAGTCGTAGTGTAGACCAGGCCAAAGTGAGTGACATAATATCTTTTATTGGACCAACTTCTATTGGTGAAAGAGCCAGGCTTTTGAGCTAAAGAAGAGCTCTGTGGAGCTCAAGAGCTTGTCTTTTTCATCAACAGAAATTGGTCCAATAAAAGATATTAACTCACCCACCTTGTCTCTCTCATATCCTGCGACCAACACTGCTACAACGACACTGTCCTCTTTAATGACATCTTCCTTTTATGTGATGTTGTGTGTGGTTTTTAAAAAATTAAATTCTTCTCTTTCCCATGTGGGTAGTGAATGAATGTGTATAGTGCTCTTTGGCCTGGTCTACACTAGGACTTTAATTCGGATTTAGCTGCCTTAATCCGAATTAACCCTTCACCCGTCCACACTACAGAGCCAGTTAATTCGAATTAAAGGGCCCTTTAAATCGATTTCTGTACTCCACCTCGACGAACGGAGTAGAGCCTAAATCGATTTTGTTAATTCGAATTAGGGTTAGTGTGGACGCACACCACCGAATTACTGTATTTAAGTTAATGGGGTAGTGTGGCCGCACACCACCGAATTAATGTGGTTTAAAACCGAATTAAGGTGCTTAGTGTGGCCGCGCACAATCGAATTTATACAACCTGTTTCCCAAATTCGAATTATCTAAATTCGGATTAATCCTGTAGTGTAGACATACCCTTAGATGGTAAACAGTAAGTGAACCAGAGCCATTAGACTCCATGCCATCCCCATGGTAAGATGAGTGGCCCTGGAGTGTCCATAGTGAATCATCAGTAGCATTCAGTTCTCATGGTCTGTAACAAGATTGCATGCTCTTTGTTATATGCACCTGGACGCTGGCGCTTATAAAAGTTCAGCACTGCTTCTTAATGAGTTTCCAAGTTGTGATGGTGATTTTTGTGTGTGCAGCCTTTGCAATACAATCTGCTGGAGATCACTATAATGATAAATTACCAGAAGAAGCAAAACTTCATTAGCGACCTAAACCCACCTAAGGATGCATTTTCAGTGCATAAAATCTAGTGCATGACCCATTTTGGAAAAAAAAGGTAAAATTGGCTGCCTACTCTGTCATATTGTTTGGTGTTTCCCCATAACCAATCCATGTGCAGTGATGCTAAGAAGTTAAATTTAGAATAAAAAAAAAAATGTAACTGATGCCAGGGAACATATAAAAGGGAATATACCTTATTCAAGTTGTACAGTAGCCATATTCTCTCTTTACTGAATTCCAGAATGATTTTGCTTCCCTAGAATTTCATATATGGATGAATTTGACAAGGAATTTCATATATGGATGAATTTGACTAGGAAAATTAAATTGTTTTCATAAGGAAGAGAACTTAGTTTGGCATTTATTTTATTCTATTATTGTTAGGAGTAACAGCCAAGTTTACTATTAGAGAAATTAAAGTTGTTTAATTTGTGCATTTAACAGCACTTCATGTCTAGTCAGTTTCACTGTAGTCACTGTAAGTTGAGAGGCCAAAGGAAAAAATAGGGCAGTGGTTAGAGGCAGGTGGGGGTAAGCATGTTTTTTTTTAAGACGGGGTTTACAAGGGATTGGCTGAAAATGGAGAGTTCTTTTCAGGGCAAGCCTATCATTATTTGAGATGAGCAACTGCATTGTACATCACTCAATTTGTTATGCAGAGAAGATTTTACAAAACATGCATGTGGTGAGGGCATCTGTTTCCATTTTTTGCTATTTGTGCTGAGCATTGGTTCTTCTGTGAAATTCAAATTTGACCTTTTCCATGCTTCTGAATATTAAAAATATGTATCTAAAACACTTTTCTGGCACTTTTTAGAGTGGTCTTTAGATACTAATTTTAGAATCTTATAAAGTCTGTATTGGC